CGGCTTTTGGAATCTTTTTGTTGTGCTCGTATAGTTTGATAAGTATGGATTTCTGCGTCTATTGATTAAAATCTCTTAAAAGTGAGTTTTGGAGATATACTCTTTTAGAGTTTTAATGTTTCACCCTTCAAGCCTATAAAATTTAACCTGATTTTTATGCGTTCTGTAATTGAAGTAGTTGGAATCTTGAAATGGAGATTTCTGCCTTTCAAGTTTCAAAATTTTAGTACAGTTTTTTCGATGCTGTACAGTTGAATGATTTCTGTTGTTTAAAAGATGTTTTTTTCTCGCTAGGGAAATTAAGCTTTGCATTTTCGTTCAATTTTTTTGGAACTGAATCAGTTGTTGTTAATTGTGGTGAGTTTAATCCGTTCTCTGAATCGGGTAATGGGATCTGCAAGGAAACGTTTTGTTGCTTTATGATCCCTGTACCTGGTGATTTACTGTACAAAGTCTGATGCATATACTACAATTTAAAGCAAAATGGCATACCGGCGATTTCAGGCTGTACTTTCACAAGTCTTTTCTAAAGCTTCTGTGAATTGGTTTCAGTTGAATGTTACTCGGTTTCTTGTCAATCTCCATCTTGTTTTTTGTGCGGCTTTTGGAATCTTTTTTGTTGTGCTCGTATAATTTGATAAGTGTATGTTACTGGGTCGATTGATTAAAATCTCTTAAAAGTGAGTTTTGGAGATATACTCTTTTTGAGTTTTAATATTTCACCCTTCAAGCCTATAATTTTTAACCTGATTTTTATGCGTTCCTTAATTGAAGTCGTTTGAATCAGGAAATGGTTATTTCTCCGTTTCAAGTTTCAAAATTTTAGTACAAATTTTTTGATTGTGTTCAGTTGAATATTTTCTGTTGTATAATGGACGTTTTTTGTTCTCGCTAAGGAATTTAAGCTTCGCATTTTCCTTCAATTTTTTTTGGAACTGAATCAGTTGTTGTTATTTGTGGTGAGTTTAATCCATTCTCTGAATCGGGTAATGGGATCTGCAATGAAACGTTTTGTTGCTTTATGATTCCTGTACCTGATGATTTACTGTACAAAGTCTGATGCATATACTACAATTTAAAGCAAAATGGCATACTGGCGATTACAGGCTGTACTTTCCACAAATCTTTTCTAAAGCTTCTAAGATTTGGTTTCAGTTGAATGTTACTCGGTTTCTTATCAGTCTTTTTGTACCTTGTTTTTTGTGCATCTTTTGGACTCTTTTTTTGTTGTGCTCGTATAATTTGATAAGTGTGGATTTTTGGGTCTATTTTTTAAAGTCTCTTAAAAGTGAGTTTTGGAGATATACTCTTTTAGAATTTTAATGTTTCACCCTTCAAGCCTATAAAATTTAACCTGATTTTTATGCGTTCTGTAATTGAAGTAGTTGGAATCTTGAAATGGAGATTTCTGCCTTTCAAGTTTCAAAATTTTAGTACAGTTTTTTCGATGCTGTACAGTTGAATGATTTCTGTTGTTTAAAAGATGTTTTTTTTGTTCTCGCTAGGGAAATTAAGCTTTGCATTTCCGTTCAATTTTTTTGGAACTGAATCAGTTGTTGTTAATTGTGGTGAGTTTAATCCGTTCTCTGAATCGGGTAATGGGATCTGCAAGGAAACGTTTTGTTGCTTTATGATCCCTGTACCTGGTGATTTACTGTACAAAGTCTGATGCATATACTACAATTTAAAGCAAAATGGCATACCGGCGATTTCAGGCTGTACTTTCACAAGTCTTTTCTAAAGCTTCTGGGAATTGGTTTCAGTTGAATGTTACTCGGTTTCTTGTCAATCTCCATCTTGTTTTTTGTGCGGCTTTTGGAATCTTTTTTGTTGTGCTCGTATAATTTGATAAGTGTATGTTACTGGGTCGATTGATTAAAATCTCTTAAAAGTGAGTTTTGGAGATATACTCTTTTAGAGTTTTAATATTTCACCCTTCAAGCCTATAATTTTTAACCTGATTTTTATGCGTTCTTTAATTGAAGTCGTTTGAATCAGGAATTGGTTATTTCTCCGTTTCAAGTTTCAAAATTTTAGTACAAATTTTTTGATTGTGTTCAGTTGAATATTTTCTGTTGTATAATGGACGTTTTTTGTTCTCGCTAAGGAATTTAAGCTTCGCATTTTCCTTCAATTTTTTTTTGGAACTGAATCAGTTGTTGTTATTTGTGGTGAGTTTAATCCATTCTCTGAATCGGGTAATGGGATCTGCAATGAAACGTTTTGTTGCTTTATGATCCCTGTACCTGATGATTTACTGTACAAAGTCTGATGCATATACTACAATTTAAAGCAAAATGGCATACTGGCGATTACAGGCTGTACTTTCCACAAATCTTTTCTAAAGCTTCTAAGATTTGGTTTCAGTTGAATGTTACTCGGTTTCTTATCAGTCTTTTTGTACCTTGTTTCTTGTGCATCTTTTGGAATCTTCTTATTTTGAAAATATAGTACTCAGAGTTTCAATATTTCACCCTGCATGTCTATCTTTTTTGGTCTGTTTTAAGTACGTTCTGTAATTTTTGAATCAGAAAACGGTAGATTTCTGTTGTAGTTTTGAAAAGTTTGGTACAGATTTTCGGATTCCGTTCAGTTGAAGGCTTTCTGTTGTATAACACGTATGTTCTTTGTCATGTGGTGTTATTCGTGATGAAAATAGTTCATTCTCTGAATCAGGTAATGGGATCTGAACGCCAATGTTTGTTGCTTTCTGATTCCTGTAAGCATTGTGATTTACTGTACAGAGTCTGATGCAGATACTTGAATTTAAAGCAAAATGGCATAAATGGCGATTCCAGGCGGTTTTTATCCACAAATCTCAGATTGCGTCTTTCGACGACCGAAAAATGTGTGTGAGTGTGTGTCTGTGTTTTGAGGGCGGAGGGAACTTATTAACTTTTCAAAAGTCTCCAGTCTTTTTGATTTTTTTTCAGCTTAAAAGGTTTCTGCCTAGGTATTTTTGGCTTTGTTACCGCTTTTGTAAATTATTATACGATGCTAATTTCTTATTCTATTGTCTTGGCATGTTTTTGTTTCAAAACTAGTCTTATTGATTTTCATAAATCTAGTTTTTTGAAATTTTCGATTTTTTTGAAGTTTTTTTTGTGTTGTATCACAAGTGTTGCGAAGCTCAGCTTCGCCTCTGTGTACAACTGTGATAATAAGAACGTAATTTGCTAATTTTTTTAATGAAACATGGAATCGAAATAGTATAGAACTTTTCAAAAATATATAATTTACACGCAAGTTATTGTCCAAATTCAATTACTTTCGCTCGTCTAATTTGCATGCTGTCTAAATTCCTAAAGCGGTTACCAATTTGGGTTAATTAACGCGAGATCTGTTTAATTGTCGCCTAAACGGCGAGATAATCGAGTTCAGAAATATATTCAAAATTGGTTGAGGCAAGCTTTTTGCTTTATGTTACAAAATGTGTAAAATATCACTTTACTTAACTGTGCGTGTGGGGAAAGATTATTAAAAAGATTTATCGAAAAATCTTACCGAATATTTATTATGCCACTTTAACCTTTATGGCATTCAATAGTTAAGATTTTTGCTCAAAATGGGTTTCAATTTTTTAAAAAATATTTTTTGTTTTTTGAACTTGTTTTCCGCAAGTAGAAGATCATTCCAGACAGCATGTTGAACTTTTTCAGTGTTGCTAATGGTTTTTTGAAGTTTTTTGCTTTTTATTGGAATTAGTTTCTTTCTTTTACTGTCTGCTCTCTTGTAATGCGATTTTTATGTAGTATCTCAAGTAATGCGAAGCTCCGCTTTGCCTGTGTTAAAATTCACTCATTATTCTATTCCATTCCTTGTTTGTTGCGAGTGATGCAAGGCTCAGCTTTGAGTTCGTGTTATAATTGGTTTTGCTTTTTATTCTGTTTTTTGTGCTGTTGTTTTTAGGGCTTACTTTTGAAAACAGTTAAATTTAGGTGATAATCATAAAAGTTCGTGCATCTTTTCTTGCATAGTTAAGGATGCTTCAAGATCATATATGAATGATAAACGAACTGAATTTTCATGAACTGAAGTAATGAATGAAGTGAGTATTCCAGGGTTGCATAAAAATCTGATGTATATTCTCGATTGATTTAAATCCGATTTTTTTTTATTTTGCCTTGTTTTTTTTTTCGATTTTTATTGGAAGCGTTTTTGTTTCAAGAACCAATTAATTTACGCAAAATTACTGATTTAGCATTCGAAAGAAGAACACAAGTTACCCATATTTTTCTATTCAGAGTCATTTTCTGAGACTGGAATGGATAAATCCGAAAGTGCTGAAAAACTTTTCCAGTTAAAAGTATGCTATTAAGAACGAATTACGAAACAAATGTAAATACTGCAAGCTGGGTTGTATATTTACCGTGGCACTTGGCAGCATAACACAAGGGTTGATTTTTTTGATGTTTATTCTACGATTAAAATCCGATTTAAATCATCGATTTAAATCAAGTTGATTTTAATCATGCAACCCTGGAGTATTCGGATATAGGTCTTGGTGATTTTTGTTTGTTTTTTTTCAGGAGAAAGTTTGTTCACGCTCAATTTTGACTTTTCGAGTTTTGATTTTTGATTTCTTTCAAATTCCTTTCATTGCTTTTGTTAAAAGGAAGGCAAATTCGACTATCGGATAGCAAAATTGTGAAGTTCACGAAAAACGTGATCGAATTCTAGTTTCGAAAATGCATTTTAGTTATTAGATTTCCCAGCGAAATACATTTTACATAGTGATCAAGTTTTCTCAAATTGGGTTTATTTTATCAAAAGTAGCAGCAATCATAAATTGTTTCTGAAATTCCAAGAGCTTTATGCGCTTACAATTTTATTCTTTAAAATTTGAAATAAAAAACAAATCAGTTTTGTTTTCTGTTTCCTTGCGTTGATCACTCTTTTCCAACTGTCATTCATATACGACACCTTTTTTGGCCATTCACGTTGATGCGCAGTTGCGAGGAAGAAAATGCGTCGATATGATTGCGGCATTGGTGTTTTAGAGTGGCCCTGACTCGTACAGAAGGGGGCCAGATGGCTCAGCAGCAGTAGACATTCGAACTAGCGCTGGCTCCTCGGGAACAACTGCACCACCAGTCATCGCACACAATTCTACTTCTGCTATCGAAGACAGCAAAAGGTGAAGCATCGTCTAACTAGAAGTTAGATTCTAATGTCGACACCGCTCACACCTTTTAAGAAGACTGTTTTGTTAGTTGATTGTCCCTACATTAAAGAACAATGTCAGTTTTTATGTATTTATTTGTGGTCAATATTCAGTTGTTATATCCTCACATTTCGATTGCCATTCTCATACAAGACACAGGGGTTGATTGTGATCTAAAACGCAAACTTAAATCCCTAGAGACGAACAAAATGTTTCTTTCTTGGTGCTTGGTCAATTCCTAACCAATCAATCGGTATACAATAATGTGTGTGAGAAAGAGGGCTGGATCCGGCTTCAGTAGCAGCTGCGTTCGTTTCGTTTGACGTTAATTCTAGCTGTGTCTTTGTCTGAGAGTGATAAGTAATTGACAGAGAGAAGGAGAGTCTTTTCAGGTTTGTTGGGGGAGACGGGGGCAGGGGAAATAGTGAAGCACACCTGCTGTCTAGTGGGGATGGGGGAGGGGGAGAGAAGAAGGCGAGGAAGTCGAATGCAGTCGTCCAGTCACAGAGAGGGGGCAGTGGGGGGTCGAGGAGTCAGGTGCATGGGGAGAGTGTAGCAAACCAACAAATACAGCAGCTGTCAACCAACAAGGCACTGCACACTAATGGGGGCACACACGATCAGCCAACATCAGCTGTGAACAGCAGCAGCACTGTCTATCCGCAACTACAGCAGAGATACCATGTGAGAACACACCACCATGTTATGTTCAACCTGCACACCACACAGTCTTTTTCTTAAAGTATGTATAGAAGAATCAAGTCATTATATGTTGCCTTTTCATCCAGTTTTTAAAAGCTTAAAGAAAAAAGTGGTCATCATAAACAATTGTTGAATTTGAAAGAGCTTTAATGTGATATATAGTCTTCAAAATTCGGAGTTGAAAAACGTTCACACATTTTAAACCAACTTTTTTTGGGTTCCTCGAGTTCTTGGATCTACTTAACAATCCGCCATGTGGTATCTACTAAAGAATTGCCGCCACTCTAAATGAAACCAGTAAATTAACACGAGAGCGTTCTTTTAATAATTCGAATTTTGCTGCATTCTGATTGGTCGAAAATTCTGATTGGTCGGAGGTAATTGTTAAGTAGATCCGAGTTCTATGAAACTTTTCTGACCATTGTATTGAAAACATCCGTTTCGTCAACATAAATACTGTGAGAAACTAATATAGTGTGAACACGGTAAAGACATTATCTTGGTCACCTGTTTTTCGTTTGATGAAAAGATATTGAAAACGTTCTACCTCATTTTCTATTTCGAAGGTTAGTTTATTAAGAGTAATGAACGCAGTGAGTATTCTTATATAGGTTTTGCTGATTTTTTTTGTGTTGTTATTGTTGTTGCATTTTTGTTCGAGCTCAATTTTGATTTTTCGCGGTCTGACTTGTGATTTCTTTTAAAGTTCAGTGCATTTCTATTGTTAAAAGGAATGCAAACTCTACTATCGATCAGCAAAATTATAAAGGTCACGAAAAGCGATCGACTTCTAATTTCGAAATTGGAAATTAATTATCAGATATCCCAGTGAAATGAAAGTTTTGCCTGTTGATCCAGTTTTCTCATTTTGGGTTAATTTTAACAAAACGTTTCTTTATAAATTGTTCTACAAATTCAAAGAGCTTCATGGCCATCTATTTTTTTCTTCGGAATTCAAAATTTGAAGATTTTTGAAAAAAAAACAAGTCAGTTTTTGCTTCAGTTTCATTGCGGTCATTACTTTTTTTCTAACTGTCAGTTGGCTATTAGGAGTAATGAACGTAGTGAGGAGTCTTATATAGGTCTTGCTGATTTTTTTAGGATAGAGTCTTAAAATTTGTTTACACTCATTTTTGAATTTTCGCGGTTTGACTTGTGACTTTTTTCAAGTTCAGTGCATTTATATTGTTAAAAGGAAGTCAAAATCCTTTATCGAAGAGCAAAAATGTAAAGGTCACGAACACGTGATCGACTTCTAATTTCGAAATTGGAAATTAATTATTAGTTATCCCAGTGAAAAAAAAATTTGCCGATTGATCCAGTTTTCTCAAATTTGGTTAGTTTTAACAAAAAGTTTCCTTCATAAATTGTTCTACAAATTCAAAGAGCTTTAAGGTCGTTTGTTTGAAATTGAAAAATTGAAATTTTTATTTGAAAAAAAAACTAGTCCAGTTTTGCTGCAGTTTTGTTGGGGTCATTACTTTTTTTCAACTGTCATTTGACTATTAGGAGTAATGCACGCAGTGAGGACTTTTATATAGCTCTTGGTCTTGCTGGTTTTTTTTTTGTTTTTTTTTTTTCCAGGAAAAAGTCTTAAAATTTGTTTGCACTCTTTTTTGACTTTTCGCGGTTTGAATTGTGACTTTTTTAAGTTCAGTGCATTTTCATTGTCAAAAGAAATGCAAAATCTTTTATCGAACAGCAGAAGTGTAAAGGTCACGAAAACGTGACCGACTTCTTATTTCGAAATTCGAACTTAATTATTAGATATCCCAGTAAAAAAAAGTTTTGCCGATTGATCCAGTTTTCTCAAATTTGGTTAGTTGTAACAAAAAATTTCCTGCATAAATTGTTCTACAAATTCAAAGAGCTTCATGGCGATCTATTTTTTTCTTCGGAATTCAAATTTTGAAGATTTTTGAAAAAAAAACACTCCGTTTTTGCTTCAGTTTCATTGCGGTCATTAATTTTTTTCCAACTGTCAGTTGGCTATTATGAGTAATGAACGAAGTGAGGAGTCTTTTCATAGGTCTTGCTGTTTTCTTTTTTTTCAGGAAAAAGTCTTAAAACTTGCTTTCACTCATTTTCGACTTTTCGCGGTTTGGCTTGTGATTTTTTTTCAAGTTCAGTATATTTCCATTGTAAAAAGGAAGGCAAAATTTTTTATCGAACAGCGAAAACGTAAAGGTGTGATCGACTTCTCATTTCGAAAATGGAAGATAATTATCAGATATCCCAGTTGAATAAAAGTTTTGCCTATTTATCCGGCTTTCTCAAATGAGGTTAAATGTAATGAAAAGTTTTCTTCATAAATTGTTATACAAATTCAAAGAGCTTTAAGACCATCTTTTTTTTTCTTCGAAATTCGAAATCTTAAGTTTTTTGAAAAAAAAACTGGTCAATTTTTGCTGCAGTTTTGTTGGGGTCATTACTTTTTTCTAACTGTCAGTTGACTATTAGGAGTAATGAACGTAGTGAGGACTCTTATATAGGTCTTGATAGTTTTTTTTTCAGGAAAAAGTCTTAAAACTTGTTTACACTCTTTTTGACTTTTCGCGGTTTGAAATGTGACTTTTTTAAGTTCAGTGCATTTCTATTGTCAAAAGCTCTAAGGCCATCTGTTTTTTTTTGTTCAAAATCAAAAGTTCAATATATTTGAAAAACAAGTCGATTTTTTTTTCAGTTTCCTTGCGTTCATTACTCTTTTCTAAATGTCAGTTGGCTATATTTTCCTGGTGAGGCTCAAATTACAAGCTGTGAGATAGAAATGGTGCGAAAATTCACTTCTCTGTAGAGTTAAAACTGAACTGACTTTGAGGAATATTTTAGCTTCATCTAGTTCTTTCTTTAGAGAAATTTCGACGTTTTGACTAGCTTTTTTAGCAATACAATCTGTGAGATGGCAATGACCTGAGATAAAAATTAAAAAGTTTTTTGCAGAATTCTTGCGATCATTTATTCAGTAACCATTTTGGATGAAAAAGCACGATATATTTCGTTTTATTAAAAGCTAACGCGTGAGCTACAATTTATGTCCGCTGCGAAGTCTTTCCGAATTATTTTGAGAAAAGATATTGCGTCTTATCAATGCGTTATTAGACGAGCAAATATATCATTTTGTGTCAAGATATTTCCCTTATGATCGTTTTTGGTTCAGATAATAGGTTTTAGCAGGGCCTAGTAAATAAGACGACAAGCAAATTAGACGATTGTAAAAAAACCGAATGTAGACGATAATTCCTAGTGAATTTAGACGATAAGAACAGGGTCAAGAACAGGGAGTATGTTATCACAACCGATCAAAAGAATTTTTAAAATTTTTTATAAAAAATTGAATCGAAAAAGTTGAGCTTGAATTATTACCCTGGCAATAATCAAGGGTATTGCAGTCGGGCACTAGACTTTTTTCCCGTAGAGAACTTTGTCCACAGATTTCCGCATCCATGCAGTACACGACATGCATGCAGGCAGTATGTGCGTATATTTAGGCTCTTTGGTCTATTACTCCCCCGGTGCATCCTTATAAGTGTTTTTACAATAGATTCGCAGTTCAAATTTTTTAATCATATTTTTTTAGTTTTGAAATTTCTACTTTGTTGCTTCGGTTTATTTTTTGTCGACCTAGCTTCCGCTTCGTTTTTACTAACCAACTAAATCGTTTATTTGAATTTTATTTATTTTAAAGAGTAATGAACGCAGTGAAGACTTTTACCAAGACTTATTGAATGCACTTTTTGCGTGCAATTGAAATTCGTCTGCTGAAAGTAACGTAAATGGCCTCTCCAAATACGAACGTGGAAATGGCGCAAAAAAAACGAACAATTTCTTGTTCCGAAAGTGGAATATAATTTTTAGATTTCCGGAGGAATAAAAATGTTACCTGTTGATCCAGTTTTCTCAAGTTGGGTTAATGTTATCAAAAAAGCGCCAGTCATAAATCTTTCCAGAAATTCAAAGAGCTTAAAGGGCATCCATTTTTTCTTTGAAACTGGAAAGTTGATTTTTTTAAAATCAAATTCAGTGTTTTTTCTGTTTACCTGCGTTTATTACTCTTTTTTGATTGTCAGTTGGCGATGTTTTTTTTATTAAGTTGCTTTTAGTATTCTGATTCACCTCTGGTGTTTGTTTGTAAAATTTTTAACCTTGTAATCCTTAGTATTTCTTTGTTTCGTGTTTCTCGCTCAAAAACTTCGTTTTGCTCAAATGATTTCGGCCTAGATTTTATCTGCTTTCTATCTAATTTCGAGTCATTTCAAGGGAAACGTAATTTTTGTGCGCATCTCTGGATTGCTAAAAATGCTAATTATTTTAATAGAAATTATAGTCAAATTTTCGTGACCGGTCTCATATTGCGTCTTTCGACGACCGAAAAAATTGTGTGTTTTATAAGGGCGAAGGGAACTTTTTAACTTTTCAAAATTCTTCAGTCTTGTTTGATTTTTTTTCGGCTTAGATGGTTTCCGCCTAGGTATTTTTGGCTTTGTTACCGCTTGGTAAATTATGTTACGATGCTAATTTCACATACTGTTGTCTCTGCCTAATTTTGTTTCAAAACTAGCCTGATTCATTTTCATAGATTTAGTTTTTTTTTGACATTTTCGTTTTTTTTTTTCGATTTTTTTGTGTTGTATCGCAAGTGGTGCGAAACTCAGCTTCGCCCCTGTGTACAATGTGATATTAAGAACGTAATTTGCCAATATTTTTTACTGAAACATGGAATCGAAAGAATATAGAACATTTTTAAAATATATAATTCATACATCTGTGAAATTAAGAACCTGATTTGCGGCTTGACCGACGTTGTTCTCCAAAACAAAAGTCTGTGAACGATTTCCACGCAATTTGCACGCAAGTTATTGTCTAAATTCAGTTACTTTTCGATCGTCTATTTTTCTGTCTAACTTCCTAAAGCGGTTATCAATTTGGGTTAATTAACGCGAGACCTGTTTAATTTTTGCCTAAACGGCGAGATAACCGAATTCAGAAATATATTCAAAATTGTTTGGGGCAAGCTTTTTTGAAGTGATATGGTACAAGATGTGAAAAATATCACTTCACTTTACTAAGCGTGTGGGGGAAAGATTATCAAAAAAATCTCATCGAAAAATCTTACCGAATATTTATTATGCCATTTGAAATATATAATTCATACATCTGTGAAATTAAGAACCTGATTTGCGGCTTGACCGACGTTGTTTTCCAAAACAAAAGTCTGTGAACGATTTCCACGCAATTTGCACGCAAGTTATTGTCTAAATTCAGTTACTTTTCGATCGTCTATTTTTCTGTCTAACTTCCTAAAGCGGTTATCAATTTGGGTTAATTAACGCGAGACCTGTTTAATTTTTGCCTAAACGGCGAGATAACCGAATTCAGAAATATATTCAAAATTGTTTGGGGCAAGCTTTTTTAAAAGTGATATGGTACAAGATGTGAAAAATATCACTTCAATTTACTAAGCGTGTGGGGGAAAGATTATCAAAAAAAATCTCATCGAAAAATTTTACCGAATATTTATTATGCCATTTTAACCTTTATGGCATTCAATTGTTAAGATATTTGCTCAAAACTGGTTTCAATTTTGTTTCTATATAATTTTGCTTTTTTAAATGTATTTTCCGCAAATATAAGATCCTTCCAGACAACATGTTGGATGTTTTAAGTGTTGGTAATGGTTTTTTTCGACATTTTTAACATTTTTGGAAATAGTGCTTTTTTTACTGTCTGCTTTTTTGCAATGCGGTTTTTATTTAGTATCGAAAGTGGCGCGAAGCTCCGCTTTGCTTGTATAAAAAATTCACTGATTTTTCTATTTTCTTTCCTCGTTTGTTGCAACTGATGCAAGGCTCAGCTTTGACTTTGTGTTATAATTGATTTTGCTTTTTATTCTGTTTTTAGTGCTTTTGTTGTTGGTGCTTACTTTTTGAAAACAGTTAAGTTTAGATGATAATTATAAAAGTTCGTGCATCTATTCTTGCACAGTTAATGTTTGTTCAAAATCTTATATATGCGTGGATTAACGAACTGATTTTTAAGCACCAAAGACGAACTGAGCACCAATCATAAATCGTTCGTGAAATTCAAAGAGCCATCTAGTTTTTCTTGGAAGTTCGAAAGTGTTTAGTTTTATGTTTAGAGGTTTGACTTCGCGTTTGTTTTTAAGGTCATTCCAATTCACTTATGCATTCCATTGACAAAAATGCAAATCGCGCTAAAAACTTTGAATGAATTTTGGTTTCAAAAGTGGATTTCAAAGCGAAGTAAAAAGCTATTCAAATTTACTCTTTGAGAATAAAACAGGTATCCTAAAAATAAATGCTATTTGGTATTTGTAATTCTTTCTTGAGATACTTGGGAAACTTTTTGCACGTTTCGGAAGTTTTTTCGCAAAAATTTTTTTGTTATGTTTTCCTATTATTTTTTCTAAAACTTTTTAAACCATTGTTGCAAAAGTGGTCCCTATGGAAAAAGAAATCGGCTGCCCAGCTGTGTTCCTGCATATTCCGTTAGTATCTTTTCACCTTACCCGACGTTCTAATTCGGTTCTATTAACCATTTCAGTGGGTGGTATTTCCGACCCATTTTTGGAATGAGGATAAATCATATGAGGATCTCCTCTCTAGCTACTTTCTCAAAAACTACCCAGCAAAAAAACGGGTAGTAGTAACCTACCCAAATTAAGCGGCTCATCCCTTACTTAATTAGAGAAACCGTTATGGTTTTCGGTAAAATCCAATTTTTGAAAGTTTCGCAGTTCCTCTTGCATTAATACAACAGATTCTAAAAATATCAATCAGGTACCTCCAGCTTTCGCTGGGCGAGCCACTAGTGCTTTATTACGATACTGTCAATCATAAAAGAGGTTTGATAATGAAAGAGCTTACTTTCTGCTTCCTTGAGTCATTAACACTTTCCAACTCCGTTTGCTTTATTTGGACAGTTTAGCTCCCTTTTCTCACCTAAATGTAAATGATTCGAACACTCCCAACAAGTCGGAAAGAACTTTGAGCCGTTTCTGAATACTTCAAGAAAAACTCGTAAGAGGTCAGGTATGGTTTATATTTAAGCCCCATTATCACCCACAATATACTTCTAAAATTTTAACATCTTTTTAGCCATTATTATCCCTCATTTTATCATGCTTGTTCAGACAAAAAATTGAGACAAATAATGAAGAACAAAGTTGAAAAAGTTTCGATATTTTTCAAATATTTCCAATTTTTTGATTTCTTAGATTACTGCGGTCTCTCTTAGATCTCTCTGTTTTTCTAATGGCGCAGCGGGCAGCTTACCATTCTTTAATGAAGACCCTACCAGGATTCGATGAACGTAGTAAAGAATCTTATATAGGTTGTGATGGTTTTTTCAACAAAGTGTCAATCATAAATTGTTCTCGAAATTGAAGAGCTTGAAGGCCATTGTTTTTTGAAGTTCAGTCAGTATTTTTTTTGTTTTCTTGCGTTAATTGGCTCGTTTCAAACTGTTGGCTATGTTGTGATTGGAGTTGACAAGTCACGCATTATTCCAAATTTCATTAAACTTGTGAGTGAAAAGCGTTTCCGAAGTTGAAAAGTTTTTAATCTATGATAGCATTTTGAGTTCATTTAAAAGAACCAAGGTCCTAATTTTTTTGAAATAGCGAAAATATTTAGGGCGGATTTCAGCAGCAACATCAGCAATCGCTCCCCCATTCTGGACATGGTGTGGGTGGAGAGATGAGCTACTCGCGACAACAGCCACCGAACATGTCGAACCTTGCAATGTCTTACCCCATTCTGGGACAGCCACCGCAGCACTCATACACTTACGGGGACAAAGGGACAGGAGGAGGAGGGGGAGAGAACCAGTTCCACGGTCAGACATACTCGGGAAGTCAGGGAAGCTATTGTTGGAACTCAGCCACCGTAAGCACAGCTCCCAATTCCGCTGTCCCCTTTGCCCTGAGGGAGGGAGGGGGAGGCTATCACAGAACGGGTAGTTTCTCCTCACGCGACCCAGGAGGAAGAGGGGATCAGCAGCAGCAGCAGTCTTCGAGGGGAATGCAAACCAACTACTCGTCCTCTTCCCACAAATCTGCAGGCGGATACTACTACTCACAAGGACCAACTTCAAACAACAGCAGTCAGCAGCAGAATTCGATGGCGTGTCTAAGTGAGTTCGCATCCAGACACGGACTGGAGACGAAATTCACAGTGCGAAATGTGGACTACTCGGACCGCAGCAACAGTCTCTACTCCTCCTCGGATGCAGCAGCCCCCACTGACACATACGACAGCAGTGCGAGAGGGGGAGGAGTGGGCAACGTCAACAGGGGTAGTGGGGGCAGATATGGATACAATCATGGCCACAGTGGTGGAGGACAAGTGGGGGGATACTACTGCTATGGGTACTCGGGGGGTGGCTACAGAGGGGGGCACTACAGCAGGAGTGGTAATAATGCTGCTGGTGCTACAGGGGGACACGGCAGCAGCGGTGGCTACTATGGCAGAGGACAGCAGGGCTATGCGACTCGGGGCTCTTCAGCAGGCAGGCCAGATAACACCCACCAGCATCACAACAACCATTACGGCGGTTATTACTCCTCAGCTGCAACGACCTTTGACACCACAGCAGGGGCATATTACGGCGACAAGGCATTAAACGCCGCCAGCAGGTAATTGCACAGTGCCATGCGTGCTGTCTACATGCCAAATAAATTGCCACAGCACGCATGACAAGCTAGTTTTATTTTCTCGCCTCCATACTAATTTTTATCCATGAAAATGATTGTAACTGCAAGGAGTTCGCTTTGTGATGTTACTATATTTACTGTTTTAAAGCTATCGACAGCAGCATCCGCAGAGACAGGCGAAGACGTATACAGTCACTCTAGAGATAGGGGGCAGGGAGTACACGGCTTGTGGGAGGACATCGCAGCAGGCCAAACAGCTGGCAGCAGCCAGGGCGCTGGAGGAATTACAGAGACAGTCGGGATTGGGCGAGGAAGGAGTGAGACGACAGAAGGCGACAGGGGTCAGTCAGAGTCGAGGAGGCAAAATGACCTCGTCCACACAACAAACCCACAGTCAGGGCAGTGGTAAAGGGCAAGGTGTGAACAACGAGGAGGGGCAGGGGCAGGGGGAGGAGGAGGGGAAGATAGGAGGAGGAGGAGGAGGAGGAGGAGATGCAGACGAGGAAGATGCAGTTGGCTCAGGGGCGAGTGGAGAAGACAGGAGGGAGGGTGTGGTTGAGAAAAGTGAAAAGCGGCACCAAGAGGGGGTGCTAGTCTCTGCTGATGGTGGGAATAGTGGGGCCACCCAGGAGAGGGGTGGAGGCGGAGAGGACGAGAGGAAGGCTACTACGACCACAATGACTGAGGCTCCTCCACCAGTGAAGCCAGACATCACCCAGGTGTACGAGTATGGACATCGAATGGGTCTGCCAGTGGTGTTTGAGGAGCAGTACAAGGAAAGTGCTGCTCTCTCATCACAGCCACAACATCGCACAGCCAAGGTGTTCACTGTCACCTGCAAAATAGGTAAATCACTCGAGCTCTCCTGCTCTTTAAACTGATTCACAGTTTTGTCTCTAATTGTTGCGATACTTATTAAGAAACATGAACGTAGTGAGTACTCTTTTATAGGTCTTGGTGACTTTTTTGTGTTTGTTTTCCAGGAAGGAGTCCTAACATTTGTTCACGCCCAGTTTTGGTTTTTCGCGGTTTTTTGATAATTTTTATTTACTCTTAAGTTCACTTCATTTTTTGTTGAACGTTAGGTAAACTTCATTAAAGAGCAGCGAAAGTAAAACGGTCTTGATTGTGAACTTGTTTACTGTGTTCATGTTCGGGCAACAGGGTAGTCACCTGAGTCCCCCGTTGGCTGTCCTTTATGGTTATGAATTTAGTAAATGTATAATATTAATTTGTGAGAAATGAATCATCTCCTTCCCGTAGTTACTATGTACATGCTACTTTTTTGATATGTTTTTGAGACTGTATATGTTGCTTTGCCCCCAAGCAAAAAGAACGGATAACGACTTCAAATCGCCGACCTTCCGAGTGAGAAGCGCACGCGTAATCACGTCACCGCAGTTTACTGTTTCACTTTTTTGATATGTTTTTGAGAATGTATATGTTGCTTTGCCCCAAGCAACAAGAACGGATAATGGATAACGACTTCAAATCGCCGACCTTCCGAGTGAGAAGCGCACGCGTAATCACGTCACCGCAGTTTACTGTTTCACTTTTTTGATGTTTTTGAGAATGTATATGTTGCTTTGCCCCAAGCAACAAGAACGGATAATGGATAACGACTTCAAATCGCCGACCTTCCGAGTGAGAAGCGCACGCGTAATCACGTCACCGCAGTTTACTGTTTCACTTTTTTGATATGTTTTTGAGAATGTATATGTGGCTTTGCCCTAAGCAACAAGAACGGATAATGGATAACGACTTCAAATCGCCGACCTTCCGAGTGAGAAGCGCACGCGTAATCACGTCACCGCAGTTCACTCTTTCAATTCCTAAAACTCATATTCAAATTTGGAGTGCTTTTGTTTTTAGCCAAGTTTGTATTCAATGAGAGCAAAAATATACGATTTTTTTTTGAAAAGGTTAAGTATCAATCAAAAACTTGAGGTAAATTAGGATGCCTCTTAACTTGCGAATTTTCTGTTCTATTAATGTGTTTTAGTTCGGGATACGATGATTTTCATGTAAGCTGAACCTTTGACCCTAATGCTCCAATATTGCTCTATTTTCTGGATTCTGTTTTTGGGCATTAAAATATCCGGATATCATTTTATTATCATGTTATTATTCATGTTATTGCTATCGGTTACTAGACTTTTTTACGTTCGTGACGTTTCTCGCAAAGTTTGCTCATCATTCTACGTAATATTAAATTCTAATACTTCGACTGATTCTGCTCATTTTGTGCAGAGGTAACAAAAGCATGACTTCACAATAAAAATTCTTATTTCTACATTGGGGCGCTGTCATGGAAGGCTCTAAGGGGTTGCACAACCTGCCTACAAATACGAATAATCAAATCCTTGAAATTTCCGAGACCTGGCGTTTATGAAATTTTGAACAAATTTGAAAAATTTCATATTCAAGGAACTTCAAGTTTTGAAATTTCCAACCCTACAGCTGTGTGTTGTCAGGATACTCTCTGATCTTGCTGCCAAAAATGACTGCTCAAATCTATGACGAGATTTGACGTGTGTTATGGATTCCCGAAAACTTTGATGTAATTCAGATTTGAAAATACCAACCCTACAATGGGTTGCTGTCAAAATTTTCTCAGGGGTTGCAAATTTTGTTTCCATATGGGGTTGCTTAAATTTTCTTAGTTTACCAGATGTGACGTTTTTTATTATCTAAGAATTTTTTGAAAAATTTTTGTAATAAATTTGAAAAAATTAACACAATAGTGGGTGTCTGTCAGAGTACCCTCAGGGTTGCAAATCTTGCCTTCAAATTTTTCTACTCAAACCCTTTTAGCTTCCGAGGTATGATGTTGTCTTCGATTTTAATGAAAAAAAATTAAGCTTTGAAAAAACTTCACAAGAGTTTGAGATTCCAAACTTCATGGTGGAATGCTGTCTTTGTACTCTCAAGAAGTTCAATTCCGGACTTCAAATATGACTTCTCAACACTTTTTGGTTGCCTAGATATAACGTTGTTCATGATTTTTTGAAACGATTAAAATATTCAAATTTCAAAATTCCCAAATTTGAAAATGTCGACGTTTTCGTGGTTTGAAGACAGGGTACTCCCAGCAGTGTTCCATATTTATGTTTGCTCAAGCTTCTTCACTTTCTGAGATATGTTGTTTTTTTTCAAAACAATGAATTTAATAAAATTGCTCAAAGTTAGAAAATGTCCACTCTATGATTGGGTGATGTTAAAGTACTTCCAAGCAAATCCAATATGACAATTGATTCATATGATGAATCATTTAATTGATTCATTTAATTGTAGTATCCAGAGCTTAAAACATTTGCATTTTTAAAATTTGGAAAAAAAACAATTCTGTCTATCAATTTTATATTTTACAATCCTGTATTTGTCGAAGCAGCTTTGCTAGTAATATGAAAATCAAAGAGTTGTAAGGCGCGACATTTCTTGGGAGTATTAAAGGTAGATGATGAACAAAACGCATTTTCAACTTTTTGTGCATTTTCCGTAGTTTGCCGAGCTTGAATTGGCTTATTCGCCGCTCTGGCAAGGTTCTTACTTCGTCTGAAAGTGTTTTGTGGATGAAATGGTTACGCTTTTGCTTCCAGGTAAATCGAAATCAAGTTAAGAGAAATCAAGAATGAGCTTTTTTGGCGTTACGTTTGAAATACTTGTTAGGACCTGAACTCTATTCGAAGTGACGTTATGTGTTTGTTGTGTTGTGGTGTGATTTGTTGTGTGTGGTTGTGTAGGGGACGAGTACGTTGCGGAGGCTGAGGCAGTGGGCAAGAAGAGTGCACACAGGGCAGCTGCGAGGAAGATGCTGCAGATATTGCCCCCTCTTCCCCCCTCCTCCACCTCCTCATTCCTCAACGGCAGACATCCATTCCCTCGACCACACTACCACTATGGCAACAGTCACTGGCACCAGGACCACAGACAACACCACCCCCATCAACCCCATTACACTAGCCCTCATTTGGGCTATGCGGGCACAGGCAGTGGCATGGCAATGGGTATGGGTATGGGTGGCATGCCCCCCTCCTACCACTATCCCTTCTCGCACCACCCACATTCACAGCAAGACTGGAGAAACCCGCAAAGAAGACAACAACTCCATCCAAAGGTAAGACATTTTAGTCCTCCCACAGATGGTTTTTGTCCTTGTTTGCTTCAAAACGTGCATAACTTTGACCAATAAAATTAAATAGTTGATCTTTCTGAATCCTTGTCTGAAAGTTTTTTTCAGTATGCCGTTAAAATAGGGTATTATGTTATGTATGGAAGGTTATTGCAACGATGTTGTTACCGTTCTAACGAGTTGTAAAAAATACTGTCGGCTGGCTATGTTTATTATAAGTCAGCGTTAGTTGTTTAGTACGACTCTCATTTTTTTCCAACCTAAGTTGCAAATATTGGTTCCACTTTTGGTGGGTATTCACACATTTCGCCCCTCACACGTTTCGCTCCTCGTTAATTACTGGCACATTTTGTCCCACGCACATTTCGCCCCCAACACATTTCGCCCCTAAAATGTACATTAAGAAAGCGGCGTTAATTAACCGTGTAAAAAATTAGGGGCGAAATGTGCGAGGACAAAATGTGTGAAACTATTATAGGCGAAATGTGCGAGGTGCGAAATGTGCCACTAGATTTAAGCAGGAGCGAACCGTGGGGCATTCATTTTGGTGGCACCTTTACGGTTTTTGATAGCATATGCTTTGACATTCGAGTACTAACAAATTAACACAGTTGATGCATTTTTAATTCATCAATTGAACCGAAAAAAGCTATTTGTTCAAACAGTTATCACACAAGCGAAGCGAAGTGTATGTTTACGAACAACTTTTTTTCCAACCTAAGTCGCAAATAAAAATGCTCATTAGTGACACTTTTGGTATATTTCAATTTCATCATATTTAAGCGTACTTAAGCATAGGTAATTTAATACGATATAGTGCTAGTTTATTTTTGGTTAGTGTTATGTCCTGTGTGTAAACAACAGGTGTTATGAAATGTATGGGATTTGTTAATTTGCGTTTTTTGCCACCCTTTGGAAAATTTTTTGAACTTTTCGCAAAAATTTCATTTTTTCTCAAGCAATACTGAATCAATTTTCAAAACAATGTTGTCATTGGAAAAACTGGCTGTTATTCTATGTGCCTGCATATTTTGCTTGTCTCTTTTGAGTTCACATCACGTTCTACGGCTTTCGAAAGTTTCAGTTGGGGGATTTTTGATTTACTTGATTTTGAATTTGTTCATTTTCTCAAATAATAAATGCATAAATCTAAGATGAACGTTTAAACTAAAGAACTAATCATTGGGATCTCTCCTTCTCATGTGGCTATTTTCTAAATTCGGGAAAAAAGGTATGGCCTCAAACAAGCCAATTTTTTGAAATTATAGTTAATTTATAAATTTTTTTGATTTTTCTCAAAAACTACCCTGCCAAATCGGAGAATAGGAGTTGAACCGGAAGAAAAAAAATGTGGTATTCAAATCTTCCCTGCGCAAGCAGCTATGCTCTGCGTTTTGAAAAAATATGGCCTTAGAAAATGTACATTTTTTTGAAACTTTGCACGTTTTTTGGAGAACTTATTTTTTCTTCAAAAACCAGCCTGCTGATTCTGAGGTTGATAATACATTGAAACTAACATTGTGCTTAGATTTTTCCTTTGTAATCTGTTTCTCTTTTTAGAGATGCTTTTTGCATTCTCCTCGCTTGTGTTGCGAAGAGCAGCTTTGCCTCTGTGTAAAAACTCGATTTCAGAAATATGACGCAGTTTTTGAAATGCATAATTTATACTGAATGTGACTTTGTGTGTGCTTTTCAATTTGTTACATGCCAAGTTATTTTGGGTGCCTTCAGTTTGTTATTTTCAAATTTTTACTTGCAAAATTGTGGCAGTTTATGAACTTATGTAGCTGCTTTGTTTGTGACTAGTGCTTGCCGATTTTTGAGCGCGCGTGGACGAGGGGGCAGGGCGTGAGACTCCAATTATTGAGGTCGCAGGTTCGAAGCTAAAACAGCAAATTTATACTAATCCGAAATTTATTTCATTTTTTCTTATTTACTTTTTATAGATGCTTTTTGTCGTGTTCTGGCTAGTGTTTGCGAAGCGCAGCTTCGCCTTTGTATTTGATTTAGTGTCAAACATTGAACACAAAGAAGACACTCATATAGGTCGAGTTAATTTTTCTGGTTTTAAGATGCTCTAAAAGTTCGGATCTGATTTCATGCATATTAATGCACATATGAATGAACTAATGTATATATGCAACTTTATTACGCTAAGAAGCAGCAGCGTAATGTATCAGTACGAACCTTTTTTTCTAATCTAACTTGTAAGTAGAAAGTGTCCATGAAAATTGTTCATTTATTTGGTGGCACTTACTGTAATCACGATCTGTAGCATTTGAAAATTCAAAGCATCTGTTCTCTGCTTTATTTTTGGCTAGAATTTGTGTTTTATTAAGCCTTCGTTGCTGAGCGGTTAGTGCGTGAGACTCATTTTCTCTAGGTCTCAGACGAAATCCGAGATGCAGCCGAATTTTTACTAATTCCACGCTTATTTCTTGTTTTATTGCACTTTCCAAAGATGCTTTCTGTCGTGTCTTGCTAGTGTTTGCTGTATGAAACTTCGCCTCTGTATATCAATTTTTATGTACTAAATAGGCTAGTTCTCCTCGGTTACTACTTAAATTCAAATGGCGCTGAAAACTTGAACGACTTCTAGATTCGAAAATAGCACTAATTGATCCAGTTTTTACTCAATCGTAGCGTAGCTTTTACACAATTTATTCAGGCTAAAATTTGTTTTTCCCGTCTTGTCTATCTATTTGTTATATTTTTGTCTATCTATCTGTTATATATTTGAATGCGGGCTTCACTATCTGGCCATGATTAAGTTTTCCAACGTATTTTTTTTGCATGTTTAACGTTCTCAAGATAGTTTTCATGTTCAAGCTATATCGTATATCAGCAATGGTTAAGAAGTTTTTCAGTTTTGCAGGGTGATTGTTTCAGTTTGAAATTAGCACTTCAATAGTGGGATGCTGTCAGGTCTCCCCCAGGGTTGTCAACTTGGCCTTCAATTTAAAACACCCAAATCCTTTTAGTTTATAAGATAAGACGATTGTTTTAATTTTTTCAAAAATTTAAAGTAAAAAAATTCACAAACGCTTAAATTCTCAACCCTTCACTTGGGTACTGCCAGGGTACGTTCAGAGTTTAATTTTTTCCGTTTAAGTGTTCATTGACTCGTTTCCAACTGCCTGTTGGCTATGTTTACATTTGCCATAACAAAATTGTTTGAAGCAGAGGAGGATCTATGATTTTCTCGGGGGGGGGGGGGGGGGGGGGGTTGTTGCGGATTTTCAACAAATTTTCGAAAATTTTGTCAACCTTTTTTTAGGTCGACCGAAATTATTTTTCGAGCTCTCCCTAAGCACGGTTTTATCCCTATTTTGGCCAAAATTGAAAAAAATTGTCCAAACAGTCCTTTTAGGCTTTTTTTGGAAAATTTTAAACAAAAAATTGCGTTTTTTTGGCGCGCGCTCTCCCCTCAAAATTGGTACATTGGCGTCACAGGCGGCGCCTTTAGAAAATTTTAGGGTCGGTCGGCCAAAAATGGATTTCTTAAAAAGTACCAAAGGGGGGACCCTTTGGGTCTGCATGGGTCCAATCCCTGAAGGGGAGGGGCGTCCGCCCCCCCCCCCCCCTAAATCCGCCCCTGGTTTGAAGTCATAATTCAACGATGGTGTACATAAATTTTGTCGGCTTTGTTATCGATTCCTAGATTTTATTTTATGCTAACTTACTTCTCCAAATTGTTTTTCAATTTTTTCTTCTTTGGCTTTTGTCTAATAGCTCATCAGCTACCTTGCCATGCTATGTTTGAGATGTATAGCAAGTAGAGCTCCGCTTCGCCTCTGTCTGATTTTATTTTTGACGAGTTGTCAGAACAATACTTTGCTCGGTAAGGTATTTTAATGGGTGACATAATGAAACTTTTGAATGAGAGAGTCAGGGTTGGCTTGTTAATTAACACCATGTTAATTAACACTGTTTTTTAACGTTTTTTAACGTTAAAAAACATCGAGATTTTAACTTTTTTAACATTTTATATTTAAACGAAGTAGTTTTTGCAATACAGCTCCAAAACATTTGCTCGGAATTGGCTTTTGTTTGTTTTCTCAGAAACGCCGAATTGATCACATGCACATCCAATCAAATAGTTGTTCGTTGCAAGCTGAGAATTATACTGCAACCAACTGAGAATTAAATGGCGGCTGAACAGCTGCATTCGGTTATGTGCATTTGTGCGTTCGGTTATGCCTATCAGTATCTTGCTTCAAAATCTTGCAATTGAATGATTTGTTTGAACTGAATTCAATTTTTAACCCTGTTTTTTAACGTTTTTTAACATTTTTAACGTTAAAAACTGTTAAAAATCTTGTGAGGGTGTTAAAAAGCCAACCCTGGAGAGAGTTAGTTAATGTTTTCATTTGAGTGATTTATCGTAATACTTTGTTCTTGTTGTGTTTGCATTACAGGTAGGGGGTAATAGTGGCAGCGGGCAGAAGGAGAAAGAGAGAGGGAGGGAGAAGGAGAAGGAGAGGGGGGAGTTGAACCCAGTGAGCAGACTGGTGCAGATTCTGCAAACACAGAGAGCCCACAGTCCCGTTTTCACAGTCTGTTCCATGGTCAACTCTGGAGCTGCATCAGCAGACCAGAGGGGGGGCCACTACTACGCCCACGGGGGACGAAGAGGAGGAGCCGGCGGTGGCGGTGGCGGTGGAGGGGGCAGCAGGCACTTCCACGTGGACGTGCGGGTGGGGGAGGAGAGGGCAAGTGGGTTTGGGGGCAGTAGGAAGGCGGCTAAGCGACAGGCGGCAGTGAGGATGTTGCGCACCCTGGGCTATACAGTGGACATGGAGAGACAGCAGCTACTCAAGGACGGCAAAGTGGTGCCGGAGCCCCTGCCAAATCAGGTACTCCTCACCCACCCATTCATACCCAGGGACGCATCGATGCTGATTCCCCTCCCCCTCTCCCCTTAATCTAATGCTGCTGACGCACATGCACAATTACATGAAATGTTTCATGAAATTCAGTGATAGAAGTAGGGCCAGTGAGTGCTTCGTGGTGTTTAGAATAAGTGCAGTGGTGGCTACAAGTGGGCTATGCAGCAGAGCTTGGGCGGAGGAGGAGGAGTGGGGGGAATGTTGGACAGGACTTTTGAGGAGGCAGTGTTGGCAGCAGCAACTGCCATGGGACTGCACGGTTGCCTGCCCCCTCTACTACTGCAACAACAACACACTTCTTCCACGCTCTCAGCCAAAGGCAACAAGACAGCTTCTCAGTCAGGCGAGCAGGCAGGAGGCAAGGATGTAGGAAAGGAGACGGCAGATGGCAGTAAAGAGGAGGCAGAGGGGCAGGGAGAGGGAAGCAGCGGTGAAGACTCGCAGGACATGATGGACGAGAGGGCAGGTGCGTGTAATCTACTGTATCTCTGTCTAATTGCGAGCAGGGAGACTCACGGTGTCGGCCATCGACTCCAATGACTTAGTAGTGTTCTATGCCCTCCTGTTGATGGCATTTGTGGCCAGACTTACTTTAGTTCATCATGGCTTCGATTCGGCTCCCCCACTCTGCCTTCTTTTGTGACATTGACTGGCATACTTGAGACTCCGGGGAATTTTTCTCTTTTTTTTTACTGGAGACTTTTCTGGGGTTGTGATGCGAAAGTTATATTTGTAGAAGCTATACTTGTAGGAGCTTTGTTTTGTCGTTATTAGATGCTCTCTAAGATGTAGTAGACTGTTGTTGCATCCACTTGTGTGTTTTCAGGCTACGTAGCCGCTACTGACTTCGGAGTGTTGGCACACCACCAGGCACTGTTGGCGAGAGAACTGCTCATCAAGCACAGATATGCACAGCAGAGACGACATGCAATTGATATTGCCAAGGAGCTACTGAGTAGTTCATCCTCCTCCACGACAGGTGGAGTTGGGGTGGGTGGATGGAGTGTGACTGCCGCTACCCTCATCAAGGACAGTGGGCGTACAGTGGCCCAGGTGGTGGGGGAGGGGGAGGGGGAGGACAAAGTGTTTGAGCAGACGCAGTGGCCACATGTGGCAACAGAGGATGAGGATGGGGAGGAGGGACAAGGAGAGGGGATGTGTGTGTCTGACAGAAAGGGACAAGAGAGTGAATCGAGGAGGCAGTTGTCGCTGAAGCAGCAGATGAAGTTGCTCTGTGGTGCTGTCGGAGCACATCTCTCATACAATGACCACACCAAGGCAAGTATAAAGGTCGTGATAATTTTTTTCGTGATAATTTTTTCGGGAAAAGTCTGAAATATGTTCGCGCTCAAATTTGAAAATTTGATTTTTGTAAAGGTTGTGTAAAGGTCGCGAACGTGTAAAGGTCACGGAAAACGTCATCGTCTTCTTGTTTCGAAAGTGGATTTTATGTTTCAGATTTCACAGCTGTATATATTTTTTTTACCTTGTGATAGTTGTCTCAAATTAGGTAACTTTTGTGAATGAATTTTTTTCTTGAATATCGAAATTTGAGATAATTACACAAAAAAACTATGAAATTGGAACATTTGAAAATCACACGCAAAAAGTTTTATAAGATATAAAGTTGTTCGGGCGTCAAATGTGACCTCTTATTGAGATGCATCGGATATCTTCTTTTTTCCATTCACTCGCAAAATTTAGGATCACGCGTTAAATGTCATCTATACTGAAGGTTTAGCGGATATCTTTAAAAGTTTTAAAATTTGCTTACGCTAAAATCTTTGATCGAAAGTTTTAAAGTTGATTTTAATTTTCAGATTTCCCAGTGGAATTAAAATTTTACCTCTTGATTCATTTTCAAATTAGGTTAATTTAATCAAAAATGTCAATCATAAATTTTTCTAGAATTTCAAAGAATTTTGAGGGCATCAATTTTTTTCTTTGAAATTCGAAATTTGTTTTTTCTCTTTAACTATTGATCCAGTTTTCTCAAATTGGGTTAATTTTATCAAAAAAAGTTCGCCATAAATTGTTCTAGTTTTTCTCGTTGCTATCACATTTTACAAACTTTATTTTTGTCTTGCCGTTTTCATCTCAATTTCTGTCTGCTAGTTTGTTGTGCTATTCGAATTGTGTATAACAGCTTGCATTCTCTACATATAAAGCATTCATGGACACTGGAAAAATAAATTTTGGTTGATTTTTTGGTTAGTTTTATCCAAAATGTGCCCATGTGTTATATTACGATTCCAGTTTTTTGTCCAATGAACTTCATAAAATAATGAAAGAAGTGTTCTTTTAGGTAAACAATTTTGCTGCATAGTATTGGCAGTTTAGTCGTATATGTTAGCCCCTTTATGAGTCGCTAATGTTTCAGTTCTGTGAGGGTAAGTGGCACAGTTCGGCAGGGCGTCGAGCTGGCATAAACTAAGTCTGTGGTTAGATTCCTGTAGATGACTTTTTTGAAAACAATGTTTTTTTTTATTTTCTTACGTTTTTCTTTTTTTATATATATATTTTTTACCTTTTAAAGTGTTTTTTTTTGGCATTTGCTTGTGTGTGCGAAGTGCTGCTTCGCATCTGTGTAAAAGATGTTTTTAATTGAAAGAGTTTTAAAGTGTTGTATTGTTTTATTTGGAACAAGTTCATGCACTGTGAGTTGTCTTTCGTTCGTATAATTTGTAGAGCTGCTGTTGTTGTTTGTGATAGGTTGGGCCTCCTCTCGAGCACGTGAGCCAGTTGCGGATGGTGCTTGGCAAACAGTTTCTGAGTGAGGGCCAGTCGAGTGAGAGTGTAGGAGAGGCACAGGAGAGGGCCAGCCAGAGTGCACTGGAAATGATAGCCAATGCAGACCCCAGTGGACCCCACATTCCTATTCCACCCCTGGCATCCACTACAACCTGTCCACTCCAGACGGTGGGGGAGGGAGCTGAATCCATAGTGACAGTAGGAGAAGTCAAAGGACGTCTGGCTCCCGGGAAGAGTGAGGGGGAGATGGGAACCACTTCGGACGACAAGGGGGAGGATAGTGGATACGTGGGCAGGGCGGCCCAGTCGGAGGACACGAGGTCACACAACTCACAGGATGTCAAGGAGAGAGGGAACAGCCAATTGCAAACAGGCAAGTTACATACTTCTCTTGGCCAGATACCACAAGACAGCACACTGTACCACGCGCTCAACTCTTGGTACAGAATCGCTAAGAAAGTCAGAGTGGCGTTGCTTATGGTCCCAGAGTTTAATTTCAAAATTGGTCGCCTTTTTGCAAATTAAGTCTAGTTTTATCAAAAAAATTGCAGATGTTTGATTGTTTAAACTTTTGAATGTTACAAAAAAGTGTTCATAACCTCGAAGATTGTTTTTTCTTCTTTCATTATTATATCGGTGGTTGTGTTGGTAGTAGATGCATCCAGGTGGGAACGAGGAGAGGCAGTTGGCGAGGAGACAGGGGCGGCGGGGGCCGACGACAACAACAGCCGCCGCAGTGGAGGAGATGTGAGGGACGGCGGCATGAGTGACCAGACTTGCTCGGAAACATCTGCCGAGCACTGTTCAGAGTCAGTGGCCGAGAGTAGCACGGGCAGTGGACTGCCACATTCTGCAGTGGATGAGACAGCAACATCTCCCAACAACCACACGCTCGGCACGGTAGCCGGTGACGCTTCGGGACACTCGGCTGGGCAGAGTGACGAGGAGGTCGGTGGGGGCAAGGAGGGAAGCGAGGGCCGAGGAGGAGGAGGAGGAGAGGGTGATGGGACTGCTACTGCTACTGCCTCCACTACAGATGTGGCCTCCTAACGAGTCCTTTAAAGCTTTTCCCTTTAGCTCATCGTCCAAATCCATCCTCATTATGGTAGGATATATTTAATTAAGAGTCATGAACGTAGTGACTATACTTCTATAGGTCTTGAACGTGATCGAATTCTAATTTCAAAAGTGGAATTTGATTTTCAGATTTCCCAGCGAAATATTAATTTTATCCATTGGTCGAGTTTTCTCAAATCGAGTTGATTTTATCAAAAAAACTTTCAACCATCAGTTGTTCTTGAATTTCAAAGAACCTTAATTTTCTTTGTCGATGAGCGTAGTTGAGACTCTCATGTAGGTCGTAATGTTTTTTTCAGGAAAAGTCTTAAAATTTGTTCAGGCTCAAATTTATTTTTTCGCGATTTGACTTTAAATTTCTTTTCAAGTTCAATTGGGTAAATTTTATCAAAAAAAATGTTTTTTTTTCGTCAAAGTGTTCTAGAAATTCAAAGAGCTTTTAGGCCATCAATTTTATTCTGTTTTCTTGCGTTCATGACTCCTTTCCAACTGTCTGTTTGCTATGTCTTAAGTGTTGTAGATTTAATGCCCTGCCTGATAATCTGAGAAAGTCATTTATTGTCTACTTTGCGATTAGAAATGCGGGAATCAGTTCAAATTTTTTTGCATTTTAATTATACTTGCTATTTTTGTGAACCCACTCTTGCCAATTTCAGGTGTGAGTGAACTCAAGAATTGCACCCTGGACATATGGCAGGCGAGTAATAGATGAACAGTTCTAGAGTTAAGAGTGATCGAATGGATTAAGGATAGAATCTGAAGTAAACTGGTTGTCTGTTTGAAAAACAAACTGAAAAACTATACAAACTGAACTACTGCGGTCGATTGATGATGTTGGATTGGCTTCCAATTATACAGCAGAATTAGTTTGGTTATTTCTTCCTACCTTCTTTTTTGTTACATGTTCTCTCTATGTAGTGATATATGTTGTACTATTTCATACAAAACATACTACGGGGCTGTTCCCTCCGCAGTAGTGATTGATTGACAAGTGGTGCACTTGAGTGTGTGAACAAGAGTGAGTTGAGTTGAGTGGACATGTCACTTCATCCAAACGGTGCTCTCTGTGTCTGTCTGACACTGCTGGACACGTTACCCCATAGAGGGGACAGCAATCCTCAGTTGTCCCGATTATTTATTCAAATCTACCATTTTGTTTATTGTCCGAGATTGCAATGTTGAATCTTTACTGTAACCAAATAATTGTTTATGAAGCCATCTTTATGTATGCAAATCAAATTATCTTTCTTTTATCGTCACCATGTTTCAAAGAGATTGTACGAGGAAATAGTTCACAAAGATGTGAAATTACTTACTGTAATTTCACCTGCGAGTGTGATGACTTCGACCGATTTCAGGCTTTGGGCGAAACTGGTTCTATTTTTGCTGCATCGAACTGGCAATTTATTAGCATAGGTACATTTGTAGCTGCATTATTTGTGGCTAGTTTGGGATTTCAAGTATCAGTGGTTGAGTGGTTACATATTTTGGAAAAAACACTCGAGATGCCTGAAAACATATACATAAAAGAAGATACTAGGTATATAAATATTTATAGTGAAACAGTGATAAAACAACCATGCATACTACTTTTTAAAAATGCCTTTAATCGAAAAAAACGTTAAAAACCATCGTTTTTTGTTCCAAAGCTTCCATCTAAACAGTTTTGTCATAAATGCCCGCCTACGTTAGTTTTCAGGTCAACTTTTACTTTGTTTGACGTTTTATGGTTGTGTTTTGAGTTAGGTCAGTTCTGAATTAGGTAAAAAACGATATGATTTTAAATAAAACCTTAAAAAAGAATTTAGTTTTCTTATACAACAAACACTCGAACCAAATAATACAAATAGTTTGTGTTTTGTTTTGTAAAACTTCAAGGCCTCAAGCAGAAAAATGAGAAATTTTCCCAAATGAGAGTTTCCATCTTATTATGTTCAACCAAAAGTACAATAGTATGCCGATCTTTATCTTGTAAAAAAAAATAATTACTATAAAAGTTACTATAAAATTTTCATTAAAAAATATATATATAACTACACGGTTTTCCCTGCGCTAATTTTACAGAATTTAGTCAGTTTTTGGCAAAGTTAATTCAACGTTGGAGACCAAAATCTTATTTATTATTCATATAAATTGAGGTTCTGTTGAGTTAAAGGGCTAGGTAAAGAATGCTACTGGTAGTATTAATCCAGAGTACTATTTGTGACCTGCACCTGTCCTTTGGTGCAGGAGTTTCCATTTTTTCTAAAAACAAAACTACGAAATTTGTAGCAGTGTTAAATAAATGGTGAAACGTTGTTCTTTTTTTCTTTCCTCTAAACAGATTCCATTTCTTTCCAACGTTACATTTGGAGCGAGCGATTTCTTTTTCAAAAATGTTCCTCCTTTTGTTTCGACTTTTTCTATCCGTTTTCTATCAGGTATACAAAACAATAAACGATAGAGGGTTTTTGAGGCATCACCCTGATACGGAAACTTTTTTCTTTTTTAGTTGTCTTGTCTTTGAAATATCTTTTACAGTGATTGTTTTCTTTTTACAAAATGGCTCCAACTCCAACATTGCGTAGCATAAAATTTCTCAGACAAAAAACCTCGTTCTTTTTTCCAGTAACTGGATCAATTTCATTAGGAAATTAATTTTTCATTTAGCAACAAAACACTTACTTTCGAAAGTGTTTCCTATGGGCTAAAAATAGAGTTTTATTGTTTTTTTATGCCAGAAATTGGACGGTATTTGTCCTCGGGTGGTTTTTTAATTCAGACAAAGTTCGGCTTCTAATTAGCCATTTTTGACTATTTTTTATCGATCAACATTGAAGTTGTCTTGAGTGAAAATTGAAAAAATATTAACCCGTCAGTGGAGATCTTATCCGTTAATAGGAGCGAAATCTTTCACTTTGTACTTTATATGGGGGATGATTTTCACAAAAATTCAAATTTTTCTTGGATTTTTTTAAAAATAATATTAATGCTTCATAGACCTTAAAAGGCACTCGCAACATTCAGGGTTTTGCCCTGATACGAGCAGTCTTGTTTTCTTTTTGATGGAATTTAAATCTTTTTACAACAATTTCTTGAGTCGCCTGAAAGGTTATGGAGGCTTAAATATTTCCAATTTGGGATAATTAACGCGCAAATTTTTTCGCTGTTAACGCATAAGTGGCAGTTCAATCCGTCTTAAAAATCGTTGCGAACTAAATTGAGACATACAATTTAGTCGAATCGAAAACTTCGCTGTATTCGAAAGATGTCAATTTGCAGTTTACATAGCGGGCGGAGAGATGATTTTCAAAAAAGCTCATTTTTCTTAAATGTGCATAAGTCGTCGCCATTTTCATTTTTGAGGCGAAAACCTCTTTCATCGCCCTTAAAACGCAGTTAGAACATTCAGGGAATCGCCCTGATACTACAGTCTTGTTGTCTTCGAAGCTCGTTTTAAAACTCCACTGCGCATAGTTGCTTGTCTGTTATTTGAGCCGTGTGCAGAAAAAACGAACGCTATAGCAGGGCGAAGACCTGAATATTCCGACTGGCATTCAAAGGCAATGCATTTTTTTTGTCGAACGTGACAAAAAGTCTGAAAAAAAATTCAAAAACGTTGAGTTCTGTTTCATTTTTCATTTATCCCCCCTCATATTTCGTTTAAAAAAACATAGTAACATATTTTGAGTCTGGTAACGCACTAAAAAGGGCAAATCGCCAGCCTCAATTCAGTTTGGAACGATTTTATCTTCCGCTTACGCTTGAATAGCATGAAAAAAATCACAAGGAAAATATATTTTTTTCAGTTTTAACTTCAGGACATCAGTACTTTTCAGATGATATAAAAAAGCCCGTCGAAAATGGCTAATTATAAAGTCGAATTTGGCCCGGATAAAAAAACCACCCCGAGCACAAATATTCCGCTACTTTTTCGAAAGAAAGCCGGAACCATAATGAGGCTGCTAATTGATGACTGAGTACAAGCCGTGTTCAGTTGAAACTTTCAACTGGCCTTCAGTGGACGGAGTAGAATGCACTATTTGGTCAGATCACACTCAGCAGATGTCGTTTGGCTACGCCTCACTTCATTTCGACACAGAACTAAACTAATACACGACACACTGCTTCACATTGCAGATAAACACAATACTTTCACAAAGTACTATCTCACAGTGGCCAACCATCTTTTTACAAATTAGGAAATTAGTCGTCATTTCATTCGTAGCATCGTTGTTTTCTTGTTACTAAATTTTCGCATCAACTGAAGAAAGTTCTGGCGGATCAATAACTAATTTTGAATAGAAGCCAGAGTTGGATTTCACTCCTTTTTGCGTGACGAATTAAACCGGCTGTGAGAGAGTGTGTTCATTGCTCTGCGTGGAGTGTGCTGATAGCATGGCGCTCATTCTGGTTGCGGCTGCTGCTGCGGCTGCTGCCACTGCGGGTGGAGCGGGCATTAGGGGTTTTCTCAGGAAACGGAAGGAGGGTGATGGGGAGAGGGAGGGGGATGGGGAAGAAGGCTCAAGGGTGGCAGAGGGAATGAGCAGACATAGCAGTCTGGACGAGATAGACTTGAGTGAAGTGAGAGGAGCAGAAGCAGAAGCAGAATCAGTCTCCTCCTGCCTCTCTGCATTTCCACCTCCAGAGGAGGACAGAGAGGAGCAACATTCACACTATTCCACTGCTACTGTGGCTCTGTCGGAAGGAGGGCGAGAGGGAGGAGAAGGGGGAGCAGCGACTGACCACAGTAACAGCAGTGACACCATCCAGATGCACACAGTCGACTGAAGCAAGAGCGGAGAAAGAGAGCAGACGAACAAATCGCAAACACACCTACACTCAACTGAATCCCAACCAACTAAATGCAGAAAAAGAGTTGTCCAAATCGGACAGCGTCTTTTCTTTTGTCGTGTTCCGAACACTTCCCGCAGAATGAACGAGTTAAAATTGTATCCTACTGAATTGTTTTCAATTTTAAACTATCTCAACTTTTTTTACCCTAAGTATAGACTGCACAAGCGAAGTGCAGTGTTACAACTCGCATCAGCTTTCGACTGTACGTCATCATCATTTGTTCTACAAAAAATTGCTTCTAACGGTTAGTCAAACTATTCTTTAACGCTGGTGGCGCGAGATAGAAATTGATTTTCACCTGATGTACTATTTTAAGATCTCTATTTTTCTGAAGGAGCCTTTGGTGCCAATACATACCATATTTAAGGAGAAAGCGCGTGCCAAAAAAGCGTTTTTTTTTCAAAATTTTGCCTGCGGTGCAGAAAGTTTGGTCAAAATATGGTCTTTTTGGTGATTCGTGGGAGCTCCGAAAATCAATTGGGTCGACCAAGAAAAAAGTCGATAAATTTTGAAATTAGGCATACATTTCTCAATTACTTTGCATTCAAACGCAATTTACCAGTCTCCTAAAAATAGGTGGTCGGTAGCGGGGCTGTTCTCATGCGCAAAAACGTTTAATCGTTCGTTTCGAAACCTGTTTTTTTAGTTAGTTGTAAATTTAGCTACTCCGACTTTTAATTATCTTTTTTCCTTTACGCGGCTCAAAAGGTTTTGGCTTATATTATATCAGCGTAGCGCTTTAAAGAATTTGGCACATATGAACGATTTCTTGTTAAATTTGAAGTTTTTTCCGGCTCATTGTGTGTCTGCTCAGCTATTGTCGGCTTTTTTACTGCATTTTAGGTTGTATTTTGAGGCTCAATTAGCATTCAATTGCCTTCTTGATATGTTTTTAATGAAGAGCGTTTATTTCCGACAAAATCAAGACAAAGATATGCAGAAATCAGTATCGCCTCTGTGTGAATAATGTATTCTTATTGGCTGAGTACATTTTTGCTCTTTCGGTGCATCGTACATGAGAAATTCCCCAAATGTAGCTGGTATCCGTCAAATTGGACGACAGCTGTTAAGACGACAGCCGAAATCGATGGGACTTTACGACGAAGCTACGTAAAATTCTCCAATTTTTATTCTGAGAGAGATAAACTGCTAGCAATTGAATAAATCATTCTGACGGTTTTAACGCCCATTTATCGTCTAAAGGTGTTTTTCTTATTTTACTAAGGACATAGCCATACCCGAGTGTTTAATTGCATTTGGGTTCAATTAGCAAATATTTGGGTTCAATTAGAGCAGTTCTGTGGCTCAAAAATCAGACAATTTCTTAGAACTTTAAGGGAACAGGACTATAAGGATATGTGTCGATTAGCATGCCCATAAAAAATTGCTGTTTGAAGATTCGCTATTAAACGTAATT